TTAAGACTGAGATGGCTTGCGTTCCATGCCCATAGGTCAGTCCTATTAGGAGGTAAAGTCAGAATTTGACTCCAGGGTATATATTCTTTTGAAAAAATGTTTGCTTTTTTTTTTTAAAGAGCTTTAATAATGAAGACAATCTCTTATATCAGCATATATACTTCTCTTTTAAATTCTTTAACTTTTGAAAATTTGGGGGGAATATAAAAGTAATACATATTTTTGGTAGAAACTTGCAATGCATAGAAACATATAAGAAAATAAAAATACTCATAATTTTCTTTCATGAATCTATAATGATATCTGCCATTAATTTTTTTATTTTTATTTTTAAAAATTCAGACAAGGTCTGGCTCTGTTGCCTAGGCTGGAGTGCAGTGGTGCAATCTCAGCTCATTGGAACCTCCACATCCTGGGCTCAAGCCATGCTCCCATCTCAGCCTCCCAAGTAGCTGAGGCTACAGGCACTCCACCATGCCCAGTAAATTTTTGCTTTTTTTTTTTTTGTAGAGATGGAATTTTGCCATGTTGCCCAGGCTGGTCTTGAACTTCTGGGCTTAAGTGATCAGCTTGCCTTGGCTTCCCAAAGTACTAGGATTATAGGCATGAGCCACCACAGCTGGCCTAATTTTTCAATTTAAAAAAAGCTTAATATTTTTCTGCATACATGCTTATTGTGAACCACTGAAACAGCTCAAGAAGGTACAAGGAAGCAAGAATGTTATTTTAAAAATGTAAAATGGATTGGGTCACTCTTGCTGAACACCTTTCTATGTCCTTCTCTACACTTATAAATAATCCACATACTTTGAGTCTATAGGACATGCAAAATACGACTTCTACCTGTTTTTCAGACATCTGCTTATTCCACCATCCTTTTTGTCAGCTACTTTTGGCCTCCTGGGTTCCTTCTCATCCTATTCCTGGAGTATCTTAGGGGCATTCATGTCTCAGGACCTTTGCACTTATTGCCCTGGCTTGAATGCTCTTCCGAGGGCTTTTGAAAGGCTGGCGTCCTCCTGGTCTTCATAACTTAGTTCAGAAGTCACCTCCTAATGAAAGTGCTCCCCTAACCGGGTGAGGACCACTTTCCAATCATTCTCCATTAATCTCACAATTCTATAAATATACTCTTGCATTTTCTTCGGTTACTTTTATGGTTTTATATTTTATATACAAAATCATCATTGCTTTGGTATTTCTTTTGGCATAAGACATGAGATAAATATCCAATTTTATTTTATTTTTATGAATGGCATTTCAGTTAATTCAATACCATTTGTTTAATAATCTTTCTTTCTGATACTGATTTGAAATCCATCTTTATCACATTCAAAATTTATATTTTAAATTGGATTTATTTCTTTCTGTCTGTTTTTATGATGGTTCCACACTGTTATAATAATATTACTATTATGATGTATTTATTCCAATATTTTCCCTTGATACCATTTGATATGGCTTAGCAGTTTCCCCACCCAAATCTCATCTTGAATTATAGCTCCCATAATTCCCACAAGTTGTGGGAGGGACCTGATTGGAGATAATTGAATCATGCAGGCAGTTTCCCCATACTGTTTCTCCTGGTAATGAATAAATCTCATGAGATCTGATGGTTTCCTAAGTGGAAACCCCTTTCACTTGGTTCTCATTTTTTCTTGTCTGCCACCATGTAAGACATGCCTTTGCCTTCTACCAGCCACATGGAACTGAGTCCATTAAGCCTCTTTTTCTTTATAAATTACCCAGTTTCAGGTATGTCTTTATCAGGAGTGTGAAAACAGACTAATTGACTTTATTTTATACAATAAAACTTATGCTTACAAAGTTTTTAATATTGATTAAAATCTTACATTTCTGTAAATATTTTACAACTGAAAGTCTAAATATAATTTAGACTAACATTAAAATTTTAAATAATACACATTTATTATAAGAATTAAAACAATCATGAAGCTTAAAATGTACATTAGAGCAGTTTATAGAATTCAGAAACAAATTTATATATCATTTATATTTGTTTATATTTATATATTTATTTATTATATAATGTTTGATTTCTATTTCAGTCCATATACAAAAATAAATTTCAAGGAGATTAGAAATCTAAATATAAGAAGGAAGCCATCAAAATACTAGAGAACTATTGGAGAATATTATTTTCAGGGGGAGAAATGCAAGGATAACATATCTGCCAGAAACTAAAGGAAAAATCAATAGAATCAACTGTTGAACATATGAACATAATTTTCAGTGGCTCCATTATATTTAATTAAATTTAATAATTTAAATTTACTATCATCCACATATTGTTACTATCATCCACATATTGTTGGATATCTGTGTGCTTTCTAATATATTTTTATTTTGAATAATACTTTAATGAACATGTGTGGGTTAAGCGAGGATTATCTTTGAAAGATAATGTACTAAATTTTGTGCTGTCACATTTTTGTTTGACTTAAGTAGGTCATTGGCTTAGGTCTGGAGAACTTATTGTTACAAATTCCCTTTTAAAAATAAACCCTCTTAAGGAACTAGAGATTTAGAGATTTGTATGGTTTCTTTTACTACTTTGTGCTTTCTTTGTCCTTTATAGTATGAAGGTTGCAAAGGTTTTGTGGGCAATGTCTAGGATTTTCTGAGTTATTGAAGTTAAAATAAGAATTACTTCCCTGGATCAAAATTAGTCTAGTTGTCTCTAACAGGCAATTAGGAGTCAACTAGTCCCCTGTTCATTTACCGTGACATGATTAGGGATTTGCCCCCTCCTTAAATTTCTGGGTTTTCTTGATTATAATTCTGCTTCATGAATTTTGTTAACCTTTTTCTGAATGTTTCTTTTATTTATTTACAATTTTAGATTATTTTTCAAAATATCAATATTTTGGGGGGGTAAAGATGGTTTTTGGTTCCATGGATGACTTCTTTGATGGTGCATTCTGAGATTTTAGTACACCGTTCAATTGAGCAATGTACACTGTGCCCAATACGTTGCCTCTTATCACTTAACCTCCTCATAATCTCCCCACCCTTGAGTCCCCTAAGTCCATTATATCACTCTGTATGTTTGTGTGTGTGTGTGTGTGTGTCCTCATAGCTTAGCTCCCACTTATAAGTGAGAACATCCAGTATTTGGCATTCCATTCCTGGTTAATTCACTTAGAATAATGGCTTCCAGCTCCTTTCAAGTTGCTGCAAAAGGCATTATTTCATTCCTTTTTATGGCTGAGTATTCGATGGTTATATACAACATTTTCTTTATCCACTTGTTGGTTGATGGGCACTTACATTGGTTTCATATTCTTGTGCTGCTATAAACATGCACAAGGATACTCACTATAAACATTAATCCATGGTTATATACAACATTTTCTTTATCCACTTATTGGTTGATGGGCACTTACATTGGTTTCATATCCTTGTGCTGCTATAAACATTTTTTAAGTAATGATTTCTTTTCCTTTGGGTAGATACCCAGTAGTGGGATTGCTGAATCAAATGGTAGATCTACTTTTAGCTCTTTAAGGAAACTCCATACTGTTTTTCATAGTGGTTGTACTAATTTACATTCCCACCTGCTATGTAAAGATGTTCCATTTTCACCACATCCATGCCAACATCTATTGTTTTTGACTTTTTAATTATGGCCATTCTTGCAGTAGTAAGGTGGTATCTCATTATGATCTTAATTTGCATTTCCCTGATGTCTAGTATGTTAAGCATTTTCTCATATATTTATTGGCTATTTTTATATATTCTTTTGAGAAATGTCTATTCATGTCCTTAGATCACTTTTGATGAAATTGTTTGCTTTTATTCTCGATGATATGTTCCAGTTCCTTGTAGATTCCGAACACTAGTCCTTAGTCAGATGCATAGTTTGCAAATACTTTCTCCCACTCTTTGGGCTATTTGCTTATTTATTTTGCTGGGCAGAAACTTTTTAGTTTAATTAGGTTCCATTTCTTTATTTTTGTTTTTGTTGTGTTTGCTTTTGAGGTCTTAGTTATGAATTCATTGTCTAGAAGAATTTTTAAACCAATGTCTAGAAGAATTTTTCCAATGTTTTCTTCTAGAAGTTTTATGGTTTCAGGTCTTAGATTTAAGTCTTTGATCCATCTTGAGTTGGTTTTTGTATGAAGTGAGAGATGAGGATCCAATTTCATTTTTCTACTTGTAGCTTGCCAGTTTTTCCAGCACCATTTGTTGAACAGGATGTCGTTTCCCCAATTTATGTTTTTGTTTGATTTGTCAAAGATCAAACTGTTAAGTATTTGGCTTTATTTCTGGGTTCTCTATTCTGTTCCATTGGTCTATGTGACTCTTTTTATACCAGTGTCATGCTGTTTTGGTGACTGTCGCCTTAACATATAGTTTGAAGTCAGTTAATGAGATGTCTCCAGATTTGTTCTTCTTACTTAGTCTTGTTTTGGCTATGTGGGCTCTTTTTCTGTTCCATATAAAATTAGGATGCTTTTTCTAGTTCTGTGAGGAATCATGGTGAATGGGAAATGCACTAAATTTGTAGACTGCTTTTGGCAATATGGTCATTTTCACAATTTTGATTTTACCCATCCATAAGCATAGGAAATATTTCCATTTATTTGTGTTATCTACAATTTCCTTCAGTAGTGTTTTGTAGTTTTCCTTGTAGAGATCTTTTACCTCCTTGATTAAGTGTGTTCCTAAGTACTTTATTTTATTTTATGTAGATGTTGTAAAAGGGATGGAGTTCTTGATTTGATTTTCAGCTTGGTCATTGTTGATGGATAGCAGTGCTACTAATTTGTGTATATTGATTTTGTAACCTGAGACTTCACTGAATTCATTTATCAGGTCTAGGAGCCTTTTGGATGAGTCTACAGTTTTCTAGGTATGTGATCATATCATCAGCAAATAGCGACAGTTTGACTTCCTCTTTTCCAACTTGCCCTTTAGTTCTTTTTTTTTCTGTCTGATTGGTCTGGCTAGGACTTCCAGTACTATGTTGAATAGAAGTGCATGTGGACATCCTTGTATTGTTCTAGTTCTCAGAGGGAATGCTTTCAACTTTTCCCCATTTAGTATGATGTTGGAGGTGGGTTTGTCATAGATGCCTTTTATTACTTTGAGGTAAGTCCCTTCTATTCCTTTTTGTTGAGGGGTTTCATTAGAAAGCAATGCTAGATTTTATCGAATGCTTTTTCTGCATCTATTGAGATAATCATAGGATTTTTGTTTTAATTCTGTTTACTTGATGTATTATATTTATTAACTTGCATATGTTAAGCCATCCCTACATCCCTGATATAAAACCCATTTGATCATGTTGTATTATCTTGTTGATATCCTGTTGGATTCACTTAGCTAGTATTTTGGTGAGAATTTTGCACTTGTGTTCATCAGGGATATTGGTCTGTAGCTTTCTTTTTTGTTATGTTCTTTCCTGGTTTTGATATTAGGGTGATACTGGCATCACAGAACGATTTAGGGAGGAGTCCCTTTTTCCCTGTCTTTTGGAATAATTTTACTAGGATCGGTACCAATTCTTTGAATATTGGTAAAATTCAGGTGTGAATTCATCTGGTTTTGAAATTTTTTTGTAGGCAATTTTTTAAATCACTGTGCATCTATTTTTAAAGTCTGTGTACCTCGTGTTGGTGGTACAGCGGTGAGCATACTGCCTTCCAAAATCTGTATATCTCTTGAAATAATATGCTCTTTGGTTACAAGTGATCTTCATAGACAACATAACTGAAGTGTCCTCAGCTATGTTTTTTGTTGTTGATGTTGGAAGTGAAGGGTGTGGTTGCTTTCGGGTTTTTTGTTAACCATCTAAAACCAGCTTTTATAGAAACTGAATTGGTTTTGAAGAACCAGAATATCCAGCAACAACCCCATATTTCCACAGAGAAGAAATGGACCAGTGAGATAAGAGGGAAGGTTTTCTAAAAATGTGAGATATAGGGGAGGGGGGATTGCTTGTGTGTGTGGTTTGATTTCTTAGGTTAGAAAAATAGACAATGTGCTTTCAGAAATGAAAACTTCTGTTATGATTATCATTAGGAAGAAATTTGATGGAACATTCTTCCTTGTTTGTTTCAGCTAACCAGGGACATTGCCCACAGCAGCCAAGTTGCCTGGAAAAGGATACCAAGCATTTAAGACTTTCTGCGTGTTCTCCTCACTTCGAAATGTGGAATGATTTATCAGTAGACTGTAAATAATCCTAACAACTGGACTGTCTAGCTTTGTAGCAGCTACTCACATCTCAGTTTTCTAATGGCCCATTTATAAAACATTTAAAAATATACCTTCTGATTAAAATCATTGGTCCAATCGATTCATTATATTTTTATAAGTAGTCTTCATGTATTCTAATAAAATGCCGCATAACACTGACATCGTGTCTTAAGTCATGTAATATAAAACTTCCCAACTGCTTATAGCTATCTGTTAGAAAAGGGGAGGGAAGACCTCCTTTATAAATTTCAATCTTCTTAAGAAGGATAGTAGGGTTACTGTAAAAGTGATATCTAAGTTCTAGTTTAGACAGTAAAATCACACAAAGCAAAGGTGGCTATACTCACTCATTGGGGGTGCCCTTCTGGCCACAAAAGTGGCCCTGGCTGTCTGTAGGATAGGCTGCTCTTCTGGGGTCCCCATGTACCCAGGCTGTAGGAACAAGGACAAAAATGCTATCAGCAAGAGCTGGCAAAAGGCAGTTTGATTTGAGATATTAAAATGCATCACTGCAACACACTAACCTCTTCCCTCAGTTACAGAAGATTATTGATTTTCTTCAAAGAGTAATTTCTTAATGAAAAGTAAAATAAAATATGGATGAACCAGTCAGAAAGCACATTTCTCTTTTTCTCTCAGGGTTCTAGCCAAAACATGAGGTAATGCACTTAGAAAATGACATTTATTAAAATGTGAATTAGAGGGCACACTATAAAAGCTCAGTTGGCTAGAAGTCACTTTTTCTAAGGTTCAAAACAAAATGACTTCATAGCAGACCTAATACATTTACAGTAAATAATGTGATGTAATACTTTTGGGTTACACATAAGTGAAGACCATTAAAAAATTCAAAGCAATGAAACCATAATGCCCAATTCAAATTTATGATTCTGCATGGCATTATAAAGGCAAACAATAGCAACTGCAGAGGCAATATGTAATAAAGATTTGCCATAAGTGTTGTCTAATAATCTCAGAGCTTAAGCTCAAACCCATCACCCTAATTTTTTAAGAATTACAAACTTAACTTGACAGATAGACCATAGGACCACAGAGAGTAACATACATCAGGCCAATTAGGAAATGCTCTCTAATGTTAGTTGAATATTTCTGACTTCTCCAATTTGACTAACACAGTTCCCAAAACTCCGGGAAGTGCGCTGGTCATCTAATGCTTGCCTCTGAATATGGAAACATATCTCTTTGTCCTTTGCTTCCTTTAACATTTGCCCAGCTATCTCCTTCCTCACATTTATTGGATTTGACATTTCACGTTATAATTCAATCACCTTTATGTATATGGCCTGTGTGACTTGGGAAGATAAAAAAAAATCAATTCCAAATGAGAATTTTAATATGGAAGAAAAATTTTTCTCAGTAATTTTTCTCATTAATCTAAGCCTTTCTTTTTAGTATCTAAGCACTGACAAAGGTCCCCTTTGTCTAATTCTTTCTCCAATGTCATAGAGGCCAAATTGGTTTCATCTTCTAATACTTTCTTATGAAATCTGACTCATTCGGGTAGCTCTCAGCTGCCATATCTTCCTGTCTCTATTTCCCAGAATAAAGAAAGTAGACTACAAATAAGGCATTTAAATAACAAAGTATTCAATGTATGATGTCTCCAGACTCTATTTTATTACATTCTGCTTCTACTTCTTAGTTTGTCATGTTTTGGCTAAACCTAAGACATTTAATTTTACCTGACTGTTTTTCTGTAATACGTTTTTAAAGCTTTATTCCAAAATGTCTTATTTTTTCTATACAATTATTAATTCAGAAATGAGTACCCAAAGCATTTGGATTGCTAGATTTTCCCTGAGTGAGTCACTTAATTATTTTGAGTCTTGACTTTCTAATTTGTTACTGCAAAATGAGTATAATAATACCCAATCCCACAAGAATGTTGAGAATATAAAAAGATAATGAAAGTAGAATGACTAACATGGTGTTTGGCATACAATATAGACTCAGTAATATTAGTTCTTGTCTTATTTGGGTTTCCCCAAAAGCAAAATCTAAGACAAGAACTTTGATGCAGGTGGTTTATCTGGGAAGTTTAAGTGGGTATGAGGGAAGGTGAGATGGAAGAGAGTTTTATTCCAGGAAGGGAAGTTTTATTCTAGGAAGCTGAAGTGGGTATGAGGGAAGAGAGACAGAAGGGAGCAAAGCCAAGTAAGTGAATATTAATGAGTGGAATACTGCTGTGGGCAGCTAGGGCTCCATCCCACTGGGAAACTTCTGCAGAACCATGTGGAACATGCTTGTTGGTGCAAATTGTAAAACTGCCCACCACAGCTGCAAAAAAAACTCAGGTGTATCAAGAGAAAGCAGGGCCAGGTATCCGCAGCATCTGCTATTGTTTATGTTCCCTTATTCATCATAAATTAATTAGCTAAAGTATTTAGTAAATGACTTCCCATACTGGAAGTCATACCAATGTGAATTTATGTTAGAGTTCTCAAGAAATACATGAAAAGGGGAGAATAAGGTTTTGTAGATGATTTAGAGAACAGGTGAGACTTGAGAAAGACTTTGAAAAATGTTTAGGATGTGGATATGTGGCTGGAAGTAGGAAAAGATTTATAGATTGAGGAAATAGTATAATAATAAGAGCTTTCATTTATTAATTGCTCACGGTGTGACATGCTGTGCTAACTTGATTACATCCATTGTCTCAGTTGAGGCTCAGAGCAAACCTAAAGGTAGGTATTACTTTCACCTGAATTGTATAGATGCAGCTCAGAGTTTAATTTACTGCTAAAAATCACACAGATTTAACTGAGATAAATAAGGTGGGAACTCATGTTTGTTGCTTGCTTTCTATAGCTTGTGGTTTTAACCACCAAACTAGAAAGGTGATAATGCTTCCTGCGAAAGGATAGAGTAAGAATGAGCTTGTTAACAGGGGTAAAACAAGGACATCAGCTAAATAAGGATCAGCAAAATGCTCATAACGGAGGAAAAGAAATGACAGGCAATTTTAGAGCTTTTGCCATTTGGGGAGAAAACTTCATACTTGTGGCAGGGAGTGGGGGTGGAGAGGGAGCGTATCTGATTGGGAGGGATCTGAGGGTCTAGAGATAAAGAACAAGGATGAAGATGGAAGTGTCAAGAGAAGAATTCTCCTTCTTGACTTCATAGTTTTGAATTGTAGCAGGTGGTTGTGTTTACTGAGTTGCTGCTACACCTCTCCACACAGCCTCTGGCACAGAAGTTGTGCTGCAGATGGTCTGTGTCTGAGCTGAAACATAAAGACTTTGAGCTGAGGGAGGAAAAAAGGAGATGGGCAGTAGCCATTATTTTGTCCCTTTTTATAAATTAGGGAGCTTCTGACATTTTATTCCATTTCTTGGAATTTTTTAATTCATGGAACATACAGAACTGTGCTGTCCAATATGGTACAGACACTATCTGTGGGTCTATTCAGCACTTGAAATGGCTTATCCAAATTGGAACATACTGTAAATGTAAAATACACATCATATTTTAAAGACATTATAAACAACAACAAAGAAGAAAATCTTAATTTTTATATTGGTTACATTTTAAATAATATATAGCATTTAAGTAAATATATTGTTATTAAAATTAATTTCATCTGTTTCTTTTTCATGCTCTTAAATGTAGCTACCAGAAAATGTAATCTTACACATGTAATTCACTTTATGTTTCTCCTTGACAGATCTGTTCTAGGAGAAAGAACAGTGTTAAGGGCTTCTTACATAAGGTGACTAAGAGTGCTGTAACATCACCAGTTTGTACGATAGTCATTCTCAAGCACATCATATGCAACACATCCTTTTCATAATAAATATTTTACAATGCCCCTTGTACAATCTTGAATTAATAGTCACAGATAATATAACTCAGCCACACTCATAATTTCCTTTAAAAAGTCAATAAAATATCCTATGTAATATGAATGAGAAATAATAAAAAGAAAGTAATTTATAATTAAATAATATGCACATCAATATGCACATGCTTAAATGTGACTAAAGTCAAGTGCTTACACCTATAGGTAAAATCACCAAATGTAGCAGCTTTAAGTGCAGGAGGATACATGTATATTGAATAGGAAAATCAAATACAAGTGTTTTTAATGATATGATTTTCCTAAATGAACAAATTTTAGTAAATTCTAACAACAAAAAAGTAGAATCTTCTTTCAAATTCCCTTGGTACTTAATAAGTCATGCAAAAATAACTTTTGTTATTTTATTTATTTTTATATTTTTATTGATATAGTTGTACATATTTTTATGGACATGATATTTTGATACATGTATGCAATGTTTAATGATTACATCGGGATAACTGGAGTATCTATCACCTTGAACATTTTTCTTTTTTGAGACCAAATTTCACTCTTGTTGCCCAAGCTGGAGTGCAATGGCATAATCTTGGCTCACCATAATCTCTGCTTCCTGGGTTCACAGATTCTCCTGCCTCAGTCTCCCAAGTAGCTGGGATTACAGGAATGCATTACCACACCCAGTTAATTTTGTATTTTTAGTAGAGATGGGGTTTTCTCTGTGTTCGTCAGGCTGGTCTCGACCTCCTGACCTCAGGTAATCTGTCTGCATCGGCCTCCCAAAGGGATTATAGGCGTAAGCCACTGTGCTCAGCCTGAAGATTTTTCTTTGTGTTGGGAACACTACAATTCTTGTCTTCAAGCTATTTTGAAATATACAATAAATTACTGTAAACTACAGTTTTCCCACACTGTCAGATACTAAAATTTATTCTTTTGAATGGCATCTTTGTACTCATTAACCAGCTTCTCTTCATCCCTTCCTCCCTCATTCCCTTTCCAGCCCCTGCTAACCACTATTCTACTCTCTGCTTTCATGAGATCCACGTTTTTAAGCTTTTGTAATCTCAGAACAGAATTTCTAGATTCACATATGTGAAAACAAGTTTTCATCTACATCACTGGGACATGGGAAAGTCAGGCAGAAAGTGAGGTGCAGAAGTAAGCCACCTTGAAGGCACTTCCTCCACCTGACTCAAGCCTTCAGTTGACTGCAGCTTTGGCTTTCATCATGACGACAACGTCATAAAGAAAACCTGGAACCAGAACCACCCAACCAAGCCATTGCCACATTTCTGACCTCAGAAATTGTGAAATAAGAAATATGTGTTTTTTGAGTTACCAATTTTTAGGATAATTTACAACGCAGCAATAGTTAATAAATTATTATTTAGTTTCTAAAAATCTTCTTTTATTCAGAATTTATCTTATAGCTAAATTTTTTACCCTGTGGCTTATATTTTGAATTAATGTATAGTATCCCCAAACAGTTTTCTTTTTATTAACTTATAAAGTATATTTTTATATGTATGTGTATATATATATATATATGTATGTATTTATTTTTATTTCAATAGGTTTTGGGGGAACAAGCGGTGTTCGGTTACATGGATAA